AGACAGACAGACAGACAGACAGACAGACAGACAGACAGACAGACAGACAGACAGAGAGCGAAGCTTACTCACCAGACGTGTCCCAGATGGACATGTGTATTCTGTAGGTGTCGGAGACACTGTAGTGGCTGTTGTACGTGTCGAAACCTGTCGGGGCGTAGCTCTGAAACGAAATCAAAATGAAACGTTAAAGGGGCTTTAGTTTTAGTTTTCGTTTTAGTAGAGGTTTTTACGGCGCTCGCAACTGCATAAGGTCATATTATGAGCGCCAGAAGATTAGAGGTGTTACAAGAGAGTAACAAACATAAAAAAGTAGGAGAGATAAGAAGTCGACGAAAGATGTTTGATAGGAAAGAAGAAGCAAACCACACCAGAGCACCTGCCAACCACCCACTTTAAGGGGCTAGAAGCAGGGCATGGATAATGAGTGTTTGCTTGTTTGTTTGTTAATTTGTTTGAGTAAAAAGAGGAAAACCGACATAATAATGGCCATTTTGTGCTGTGAAAAGGTAAGAAAGACAGACAAACAGAAATGACAGGTGTAACGTACAAAAGTAGGACCTACCAGTGGCTGCTTTTGGCTTTGATTGTTGAACTTTTGATTTTTTTGCTTAGTTTAAATAAGAGTTTTACGGCACTTGCAGCACAATTAGGTCATATAAGTGCCCTAGATTGAAGGTGTTACAAGCGAGTAATACACAAAGAAAAGAGGGAAAGGTAGGGACAATAAGTGATTGATAGATACGAAGGAGCAAACCACACCCAGCCACCCACTCTCTGATTTCTTGACGATGAGACGACTCCTCACGAAAAAAAACCTCTTCCGCCCAGACGGAAATGTAAATACCACAAACACCCACACCCGAAGTCTAGACATAGGGTTAACAATAATAGCACACACACCTCTACGAAACCCGTCTCCCCTCTATAGTGAGCATTTCAGAGCGTCTCAGCGCCCACTCATCTTTCGATACCCCGGCAAATGCCGAGAAAAAATGTGCAACCGACAGCAAGAGATTGCAACGAGATGCCGTCTTGGCGCACAACATTTAAACAAAGCATCGTTGATAGGAAGGCGCCTGTACGCCGTAACAGAACATAACGTGGCAAAATGCCGCAGAGAAGTAAGATAAGAGGAAGATACCGAGGGGTCATGTCCCAGATTCTAACAACAAAGAGCGGCGGACAACTGCCGACTCTCATCTCACGCATTCCGGCGTGATTTCCAGAGTTACTGATCACTGGTCCATCTAAGCCTGGTGCCAGAGTGGCTGCAAAAGGGGTGTGAATTCGTGATATCCCTACGTATTTCCAAGACAAATTATGTCCGGTTTTGACTCCCCACCCGGCGTTCTCAGAGAGCGATGACCGCAGTGCATTAGCCCGAGAATGTTGCAAGGCCCTCCAAGCTCTCGCCACATGCCGACCTTTTGTTAGCATTTACTAACAAAAAGGCCAGTGCCAAGAAAGCCGCAAAGAATAGAAACACACACATAGCTAAGGGGCAACACTGACCGTTTCGGAAGCCATATACCTCCTGCAGGGCATTGGCCAGACAAAAGGCGCCAGACCGTTGTCAGAACATGGAAACTTCCATAGCATTGTCTTTACCATTTTCCTGCTCTCACTTCTTTTCTCTAGCTGTCTATACCTCTCAATGTATCAATGCATCTCTCTCTCTTTCTCTCTCTCTCTCTCTCTCCTCTCT